AGAGGTGACAGTATTTGCAATAGTTGAGTTGTTCTCCCTGTAAAAATTACCAGGACTAATATTAATTATGTCAATATACATTCTTACTGTAAAATCATCAATGTGAAGAACAGTAAATTCCAAAAATATCTCTAGTAAATTGAGAGGTGTGTAGAAGAATATGGCAATGCAAAGAATACAATAGATCACAGACTTACCTATTTTTTTAGATAAAAACACACAAAATGCCATGAGAACAATGATGAGAACAGTAAGGATTACAAGAGAACGCCTCCTCCAATGACAGGATCCCAAATTAATCTGCATTTTTCCGTCCTTTCAAATAATCAGCCAAAAGATGTAAAGCTGAATATCTTTCACTCCATCTCCCTTGACAAACGTCTGTAAATTGTTACTTAGGTCTGATCATGTCAGCAGTCGTATTCCATATACAAAATATATCAGTATCCGATCTACTCTGTGTCATCAATGATCAACTTAGAACTGAGCTCGTAACTGATGCACAGCCCTCCCTAGGCCAACCTTTTTTTAAGCATTACATCATGTTGCTCCTGAGATTTGTCATTTTCTGTGAAAGTGCATACTGTGTTTAAAAAGGTTCAGCTCACATTTTGAAGCGCACAAGAACTGAGATGTGACCAGGTGAGGCAGGGTTTGAGTGAATGAATTCAGGGGAAAAAGTTAGCAACCAATACTATTTCATAAAACATTATTAATTGTCAATGTATTTAATATACACTTTTCATGCAATTGATTGCAATTGCATACACTTGTGTTGTCAAAAGGTCACAAACAAAGTGTAACAAGCAAAATACTTACTAAAATAATTCTAAATGGTAATACAGTGCATTCTTTGGCACAAAACAAATAAACTGGCCTATGGTATTTTCCTTTTTTTTATGAGCATTCTACAGATTTGAAAACAATCAACAAACATCTGTGGATCTCAGGACAGAAAGTTATTAATGTTAAGGTCTCTCTTATATAACTACGCATTCTTTGTTCTGTTCTTCATAGACACACATATTTGAGTAGTTGCTATATTGTAATATTGCAATAGATCTGGCAAAGAGTATATATTTGCTTTGTGTTTGACATTAATTTCAACACATAATTATATGCTGTGGCAATCAGTCAACATGAAGCAGATGGCTCAGAATGAGCATGGAGCTCCAAGTTCACTTACAGCAATTTCAAAGAAGAAAGATTTTGTTATGAATAGACTATTGATTCCAGGTGGGTTAATAAACCATCTCAATAGCCTAAGGAAGAAGTGGGCTGTGACAAGGTTAAATACATATATTCCCTTTGAGCGGCGGAATCTTTTTGTAAAGCTCTCCACACCCCTGTTCCCTGTTTGCTGATTAGAAAATCATTTCTGAAATGTTCTGCAACACAAAAAAAATAAGTTATTACTTCCTGCTCACTTCGTCACGTTGGAAGAATTTCAGAAGAGCTGAAATTATTCTGGACTTTTTTCTTTAAAAAGTGATCATATTGTTGACTTATGACCAATATTTTACAGCTATGCCCCGCAGCTCTATAATACGTTTTTTTTTTTTAATGCTTGGTGCTCCAACACGGAACCAAACTGACTCTTACACCACAGTACTTAAAGAAATGAAGCAATGTCAACAGCAGGACTATTTCCGTGGGACCTTCAAGTATCACCCAGGCGTTGTCAAGTGTGTTTTGGCTCAAATTACTCTTTTAATAATTACCTGCTTGACAAAAAAAAAACATTTTTATGGTTTGAAATATCGACCTGTTTGTAAAAAAAAAAGGGATGCAAGGAAACATGCTCAGTGAATATCACCATCTAAATATGAATTTAAATGAATTCAATTCCAGTTTAGTGTATAGTATTTTATTCAATGTCCTTATCGCAGAGTTAAATTAAGTGGTTTTTGTAAACAAAAAAATTAAGGAAATAAATAAGCAGTGGTTTGCTTTGATTGCAGTAGGTTCCACAAACGATCACATATTTCTTTCTTCAAGCTTTTTTGTACAATATGAACTGATGATGAAGACGTTTGTTGCTTAAAGTCCTTAAAATGATATTTTCTTTTCGTATATTTTTTTTCTAGGGGTCAAATGCATTCTGAAACTTCTTTTTTCATCTTGGTGGTGGTCATGAATACAATGTAGAGCTTGAAGCATGTCCGCTGGTAACTTAATGTCTGTTAATATTGACTCTGAGCAAAAGAAAACGGCACAAGGCCGTAAACAGTAAATCACAATATAAAGGCAGCAACTATGTTAACTCAACAACTCATGTAATCGTTAAAAGCAAGTTTCCTTTTAGTAACACTTAGTTCAGCAAATGGGTGAAGAATTGGCCTTCGAGATTAAGAAAGTATTTGCAGAAAAGATTGCAAATAATCATATCAGCAAATCCAGTCACTTCTGGTTTCCCCTTAATAGTGTTTGATTACAAAGGCCGACAAATGCTTCAACAACTCCCATATTAGTTGAAGTTAAAATCACTGTTATTACATCAGGTTTTTGGCAAAAGCAATACATTAACCCAAAAAACAATTATTAATATTTCTATGAATGAATCTAAAATGATTCACTATGCATCAACGTTTTTTTTTTTTTGTAATGGTCAGACGGCCTGTGCTGTTTGTTATGTGTAGAGAATGTGTGGCTCGTTGAGGCACTGTCCCGATAACTGAGACGCAGCGGAACTTGATAGTTTAAACAAAGGCAGGTAATTTATTTTGTGTTGGTGTAGCCCACAGACTATTTTCTTTTTATTAGTCTCAAAAGAAACAAAACACACAATTTAAAATGACAACACCCTTAATGAGACCAGTTGAAAGTAAACAAAATATTTTTTCCATGGAAGGTCTTGAAAATGTTAAACAAAGTCAGATTGAAAAATAATCTGCTTGAACGACAACAAAATGAAATGATATTGAAACATTTTATTCAAGTCAAATAAAGCATTAAATACACAACTATCTGTCACGGACCTCCTCTCTCATAAACCTGAAACAATTGCTTTAGATTGAGAATCAGTTTTAAAAAGAAGTGTCCATAACCACTGCTAGAGCAACTAGAACAACACATCTTAATCTGGCATCGCTTCAAGAAAAGTTGGGAAATATATCAATCCGTTCCCTCCAAATAACTGTCATCCTTTTGAACTAGTCTTAAAACCATTCCCAGCTTTAATTCTCACGGTTCAGCCTCCTTCTGTCCCTGCTGTAGATCATCTCCTGGTCCTGCTGCTATCGGCTCGGTTTGTGCTCTTTGACGCTCTGCCTCTGTTATCGTCATTGGGTGCAGAGGAAAAAATCCTGCCAACCCTGGAGCAAGAAAAAGGGGAAAGAGCAAGCCAATGTATTTTAGTATGAGCTTGTTCGCAATAACACTTGTTCAACTAACTACTGCTGAAATGTTGTTAAGTGAATGCCAACATCTTTAATGCATTCACCATTTTTTGAATTCCTCATTGGCAATTTCTGGAGAACAGAGTTATACATTAGATGCTTGTTATGACCGTGAAAGGCACATTTAATCTGTATCTGTACAATCCTACAAAACGAGAGGGCATGGATGAAGGAACAGTGAGAACACATCATAATAAGACAGCGGTCATCATTTGTGGTAGCAGATAATACAGAAAAACTGATTTAAAGCAATGGTCAACACAGAGAGGCAAAGCTCTGGATACAAAATAAAGGTGTGTGTGTACTTAAGTTATTAATAGACATCCTTGATTTAAAAAATCACTAATAGCAGCACAATTATCTGGACAAGCAGACAACCGCAATGTTGATCCAACTTAAAAGAACATGATCAGGTAGTGAATACACACCAAGAAGTTTAGAAATTGGCTTGGTAGGGTGTGCGCCACAGCCGATCCAGTACTTGATTCGGTCAAAGTTGAAGCTGACGAGTTTCTCATTGTAGATGTTGGGGAGGGGGTCGTAGGTGCCCAGCTGCTCTATGTATTTTCCATCTCTTGCCCTTTTGTTGTAAGCTGCCACGATTCGATAAAAAGGTCTGTTCGCTTGTTTGTGGCCTGCAAGAGCCAACCGGATGACAACGTAACCTCCGTGGTAATTTTTGAGCAGGAGAGATGCTACAAAGAGAGAAAGGGACATCCTTGATTAAAAAGGAAGGAAATAAGCACATTAAGCGTTGTTAAAGGAAAATTAAATGTGTTTCTTGTAATGTTAAAGGCTGTAACTTTAAATATCTTGACCATCTTGTTTAAGTAATTTACAGTAAAGCATATTTAATATGAAATTAAACCACAGGCTGACATTTTGCATAACAATTATATGGTTTTCAAATGGAAGGAAGGGAAGTGAACGCACACTCAACTTTTATTCCAACTAATGCAGTCTACATCCTACTTTATTAATGTTACATTTTTGTTAAAAATGTTTGCGATGTTCCATTATTTTGTCTACCCTTATTAATGTAAATAGGTTGGACGAAGTGTAAGAGACATCTCTCTCTTTACTATACAACAATAAAGTTGTCTAAAAAAACAGAAGCACCACTGCCTCTTGTAAAATAACCAGAGATAAATAAGATAAATCTATTTCTACCACAATTATTATCGCTCTTAAATTGGAACTGAATATATATTATAGACTATATCGGGCAAAAGACTGTCAGAAAACGAACCAACAATAATCGAATCAATTAAATATTACACTTGCATAATGAAGAAAATATTTCTAATAATCTTGCTTCTCAAATGTAGAGATTTACTTTTTAAAGGATTCTCTATCATTTTATTGTTGTGTTCTTAACAATTGGTAAGGGACAAGTCATTTAAAGACACGTCCTCTTACGATTCACCGTTTTTGTCATTTTATAGAGTAAGTGTTCATAGACCGATCAATATGTAATAGAGAAACATTGCTACTTGTAGCTTTACAGTCACATTGTTCCATGCTGACAAAGCTGTCATGGCTTCTAATGTGTCACTCCCTATAAATACATGTTAAACCTGCGACTGCACATACTATAAATATGATATATGTACTTGTCTCGCCAAAACTCTTCTCCAGTCCCCGACACCACAGGACAAAAACATCAGAACCATCAGGATGTGCGTGTTGTGTTCTCATCGTATACTCACATAAATGAACCATGGTGTTGGCTCGATTAGCCTGCAACCACAGACACTTTTACCCAACTACAAACCAAACAAAGAAGATAAAAAGCACATTGTAAGCGAAAGAGCAATACGCAAACGGAAGTTTAAAAAAGTCAACACAACGTATCAACTATAAGTTATTCATTACAGATACACTGATATCACGGACCGTAGAAACAGTGCATTTCACGGAGAACTAACGTTATCTGTTATCTCATTGTCCCGTGTTATTAATCAACATATCGGGCGTTAACACGTAACGTTTAAATTGCTACAGGAATTGCTACGCAGCTCTTGCTAATGGCTAACATCTCTTTTGAGGACTAACCTTAGTGTGCTTTAGAACCGAGCAAAGAAATACCAAAATGCCGCGGCCGATGTTGAACGGAGTGAATCAAAATATCCTCTGCTTTCTCCTTCTTTATTTTTTGATGGAAAGTTGCTAAAAAATAAACGTTAATAACTGAATGTTTACAACAACGGGAGAAATGTGACATTTGTCAGTGCGCGGCCATGTTTAAAGAGGAAGTGACGTAGCTGGATGCTGCGTCATTGCCTTATCGTATCGCGAGATGGCGCTGTTGCCCTCCTCTATACTCTGCAAACCAAAGGCATGCATGCGAGGAACGCTGTTAAATAACAGAGTACATCACACGTTGAGTCGTGCAACCTCAAGTAAAAACATACAAACGAAACATGAGTTTTATCAACCTCCTCATTATACAGAATTCCCTATTTTGTGTTTTGTGGTGCTAATATTATCCACTGCTGCCACTACATCCTTTTATTTTGTATGTACTATTATTATTCTTACTAGAATAGCAGTATTATTGGAATATAAAGCAAATGTGCAGTATACTATGTACAATATTACTTTTGGTATAGAGTGTATATTACCAAATGGTATGGAAAGTATTTTAAAATCACTTCACTTCATTTTATAAGCTCTCTGGTCAGACAGGTAATCTTTTACATTCTCTTTTCTGTTATTTCTCGTCTACATGTATTGTGCGTCTTACATCAGTAACGCATTGAGTTTCAAATCAGTTTCCCCTGTTGACCCCGGCGGAGATGAGACACTTGTTTCCTGAGAGTGATCGTGAATTCAGGGGTCATTGCTTTGCTTGATGTCGTCTGAGTGCCCAGAGACTTCTGCCCACTGGGAGCACAAATACCCCCCCAGTCTTGGAACATGGGGATTTCACACTCCTGTTGTGTAAAGCTTGTTTTTCTCTGTGTGCGTGTGTGTGTGACAAACACATGGTTTTCTGCAAGGAGAGGTCAAAGAAAACACACAAAAGAGATGGGCCCTCGTTTGTTATTCTGAAAATATCCTTCTGTCCCTGCGTGACTCCTCATAAATAAAGCCGGTTATGACTAACAAAAAGAAAAAACAGACATTACGCGAAATATTTATGATACACTGGCTTTTGATTTAATTGATTTAACTTTCGGTAAAGAATATATATAGTTCCCGCTTCATACCATTTCTTTTGTATTGTAGTCTCAGCAACATAGCAACATAAAGCTCTCATTTTATGAACTAATCATACAGAGCTTTGTAGCAGGGGTGTTATTGCTAATTGTTTTTTATATATAATCAAAGGGAAACAAGTTCAAAAAGATTTTAAAATGTTGACAGTTTGGTTTGTCACTGAAATTATTTCAGGAACTGCATGAGCAACTTAACATAAAACACTTCTGGCTGGTTCTTATCAGCCAGGGCTGAAATTTACAGAGGAAAGCGTCATTGGTGAGTTGACCACGTTTTTACTGTGGAAGCATCTGAAAATGAATAGAGGCTTTACACAGTCAGGCAGCAAACAAAATTAATCTTACATGGTGAATCGGCAATGCGTGATTAACTGAACGGTGACATTGATTCTAGTTGTGGCTCACTCTCGTGAGGACCCCATGCTCTTTGGGATACCAAGACGAGTTGTTCCTCCTCTAATCATCTGTGACAGTTCAGTTAGAGACGCTCAGATGACCAGATATTTTACTTGGAAAAAGCAGGAGGAGTCTGCTTTAAAGGTTGATGCTGCCCCGGACATTGTAGTCAAAGATGCCTGAGTTTAATTTGATTATGTGGAAGAGGAAGACAATGTCACTAATGTCCTCTAAACACTAAGCTTAATCTTACATGTGCACTTAAGACTCACTATACCTCTCTAAGCTGAATTAAAGCAACGTTTCAAAAGAATGCGTGTGTTTGATGTATGGCACCAAACCTCTGCATAATATAATACATATTTTGTTATTAACCAACTAAAATGTATAATGACAAAATTGGTTTGAATCAAGCTTGCAAATATTTCACAAACTGCAGATATTGTATGTGATCTCCTTGAAAGGGGATCTTTTGAGAAATGTGTAATTAGAGCAAAGTGGAAATGTTCATCCATGCAGAACTTTGGTCAGACTTGTGTCAGTTATTATTCGTTCAAGGTACATATATTCTTACATTCAGATATGTGCCTCACACCCCAGAAGCTGCAGAAATCCCAAGCTTTAAAGGGAATACTTTGACATTTTGGGAAAATGCATTTGTTCCCTTTTTGGTGGGGTATTCAATATAAAGCTAAAGTCAGGACCTGTTAGCTCAGATTGAAGACAGGGTAAAAGAAGTTGCTAGCTGGCTGTGTTCGAAGTCAAAACGGAAGCCGCCAACCAGCACCTCAAAAGGTCACTCATGAAAAGCATATTTGGTTGGCATAAGCCGCATACAAACTAAAGTTGAAAAAAATGACAGTGATGGATTATTTCTGGAGTTGAAACATTAACTTGCTGCAGCCTCGCCTGGTTCCCTGGCAACAACTCACATGTATTCTCAGTGCTAAGCTAAGCTAACTAGCTGCTGGCTGTACCCTTCCTTCAGGTGACCAATACGTGTGAGTGGTCTCAATATTGTCATCTTTGCAAGAAAGACTGTAGGTTTAGCTTCCAAAATGTAAAAGTATTGTTGATCTCTGTTTATCAATGAAAAAGGTGTCTTCTTCAAATGTTTGTTTCAAATATTGGTGGTAACCAGAAAATGTGATGATCTTTGTGTATACTTTTTAAAAACCTCTTTGTGGAGTCAGTTGTATGTACAGTATGTATGTGTATTTACTGACTGTTTTTTGCAGTTTTAACTGCCAGTATTGTCTGAAAAGAAGAATAAGACGTTAACATCATAATTTACAGTTTTATAGATTCAAATGAATCATAAAGTGATCAAATAGGATACCTTGATATACAATTATGTTGTCTACATTAATGATAACGAGAGCACACTAACTAAAATTCTCCCAAATCTCTGATGGCAAAGAGTTCTGCTTGATGCCACATATCAGTAATATATTTACTATGTCTGATTAACAAGACATTAATTGGTTAGTGTTGATTCACTTCCATGCCTTTGAAAAGTAAAATGAGCCTAGTGGGATTCCTTAAAGAAGCCAACATGAACACTGGGAGTGTTCGCAAACGCTAGATGGTCCAGAATCGATCATGAGCCGGATCACGAGCGGCCATGAGAAGTTTCTCTGACCCGGACAAGAGGTGAAAGTCACAGCAAAGTTATTTTTTTCGTTTTTATGTGTGGAACCACATAAAAACCAACTCGGATCAAACCTAAGTCCCTGTGTTAACCACTGAATCACCCCGACCAAACCATTTTATGCTGCTTACTCATGACCACCAATTCTGTAAAACAGCTGGCCAAACAGCTCATTTACACAGGATGAAAATCAAAGTTTCATTTAGCCTTTGAAAGAAATAGCACATGCATAAGACTCTTCAGCTCAATTCGTCATAATGTTCGATCTTTTCAATCACAGGAGCCGTGTGACTTCTTGTCTGTGAGCTCTTTGTGATGCCCCCGTGCTTGTTTTGAGCATCTGTGTCCGGCGTGAGCAGAGATAGACGTTATGGTTGCGAAGAGCACCTAATGAAAAACAGGATTTGGTCACAGACGGAGGGTCAAGTGATCTTCCTTCTCTGGAGGGGCCTTTCAGAGAGCTGTGGTGAGACTAATTAGGATAGCATGCAAAATGGAGGCATTACTTTTATCTTCATTAACAAAGAGACTTTTTCTCCTACTTTTTTGTTGTTGAATATTCCTCTGCTATTGCAGTCTCTGATTTAAGCAGAAATGTTCTGTGTTCTTCGGTTGCTTTCCTCAGTCAGCAGAGAAGGAACATGACGCATGTCTTAAATATTAATACACACTAACAAATAATACTGGTACTTTGAACAGATTTGGAAGTGTCATTCGTTCAACTGCGTTGATTCGACAGAGCAAACCGTCGGCCAAATGGTTCTGTGGTTCCGTTTTCAAAGAGTGGAGAAAAGTGTTTGCTTTATCTCAGCCTGGAGACTCACGCGGTACATTACCCATCATTTCCATCTTGTAGAACATAACCAACAGCTTTTGCTTTGAGAAAAGAACCAACTCTTGTACGGCTTGAACACAGTCTGATGGGATGTCTTGTAAGTCTTCAAAGGCCCGGATTGTTTTTCCTGAACAGGAAGTTCTCAGGGTAGAGGAGGTCAACTCATTGGCTTCAAAACTGCCCGTTCTATTATGTTTTAATTTCTTTGTATCTTCTTCTGCACTGGTAACAGGAAAATATGCCCCAAAATTGTTTGGTCCTAATAAAGAGCAAACGTTTGTGAGCGTGTCACAGACATGTCCGTGTGGTTATAATGCGAGCTTCTCCTTTCGGAAAAGAACATTTTGAAGACTAAAACAAGAAGACGTGTTTGACAGCTGCAGATTGCGCTCAGACAAATCAATGAGAGCGCTGAGGCAATGGTTTCACACCACAGTGTAATGGTGGAACGGGTGTAGTTTTGAGGCACTCATACCTACTTCCATGATTTCCATTTACTACTATTTCAAGTGCAACAGCTTTTTGTCTCAGTCTCTGATAGCTACATTGAAGATTCATATTTGCGTCCATAAAATATGAATCACACAATTATTACAATTTCTTGCTTCATAGTTCTGGACTATATTTTGAATGCAGGACTTTTTACATTGAAGTACTACAACATATATTTAAGCAGAGGATGAATGAATGAAAGGTGAATACTTCTTCCACCAATGTCAATGTTCAGCTGGTATAAAAGGCGTTAACACACTGATTTCTCCTTTATTTCTGTTTATATGTATTTTGCTTTTGTAAAAAAATGTTAAATGGCTTTATTTTTTTTTAAAGCCACTAGATTCAAATTTGACATCAAGCAATAAACATCCGGTGAGATTCCAGATTCCGGGTGTTTATTTTTCACTCCGATTATACAAGTACAACTGTGTGAATTTCTCTCGCTGTGGGGCTCCAAAAAATAAAATAACAAAGCAGAATCCCCAAAATACTATAACACACAAATTTAAAAAAATCCTTTTAAGAAAACCAACAAACAGTAAGAGTTTGCACACAGAGTAACTTTAGCCTGTTAATGGTAATATTTGGTCAAACTCTGTGAGCACATGACATCGCGTACGCTGCTATAAGGGTTCGTGACCCGCTCCCTGTGCCGCCGCTCTC